AACGACTGGTGGGCCTTGCGATTTGCTCCCCTTGAGCTCTCTCCCTTCTCAAGCTCTCATGCAAGAAGAAGTAGAAACAAAACACAATTTTTTCATTCCAATATTCATTCTCCATTACATAAGAAATGACCATATATATAGGCCTAAAATGACAAAGGAAACAAAAGACTAAAATGCCCCTTGGGCTACAATAGAGACCAAATACCCATAAGGGTAAAAACGGAAAAATAAAATAAACTACTACATAACATGACTAAAAATTAAAACTCCTGATCGTGGCCGTCGATCTCCGGTGTCTCCGATGGTGCACGTGTCGAAATCGCTGACGATGTCCTCATCACATTGTCTCCATTCATTGATCGAAATCACTAAGGGCCTCCCATGCCAGGTTGACCTCTTTCATTGATTTGAGTGTTACAACTATCTAGCTTTCTTAGCTCATATGTAAGGCAACTCTCCCTCTTCATGTCTATTTTGCTTGCTGGCATTGCAGTGCCATCTGCATTCAGACCTCGCCTTTATAATTCTCCTTGTATCACCTGCAACCTCATATAATGTCTACACTCAAATAGGTTTTGCTATGACTGCAACACATGACATTTTTTCTTTCTTGCAACTCACGTTTGATAAGGAGATGATGTTAGCATTGTTAATGGCAATGTTGTTCTCATAGAATTAGACAAAGATGTGTGAGCATATGATAGGCATGGAGGTAACCATTAGATGGGAATAAAATTTTGTGATATTAATGATTATTAATCAATATTATTATAAGATATAAGATAAGTTATATGTGATAGATTTAGGTATATTAGATCTATTATATAACAAAATGGAAATATAACTTTTAAAGTTTGGGTGGTTAAGATGGAGAAATGCTTGTGATTTTTTTTATGAGAAAATATCATGAAAAATTTAAATATATTAAATAAAACTGCAATTTGACTGACAATATTGAATGGATCCAAGTGCTTGGTGATAGAAAAGTCGTCGATGGATAGAATGAGCATGATAGAAAGAAGAATATTAAGATGACTACCACTAACCTGATTTGATAAAGTTTATTTTTTATTTGAGCTTGGGCACTTCATTTGTTTTCTATATAGCTTGCTCAATCTTAGAAGGCCATGATTGGATTTTTAGTTGTGCGTTACTTTACCATCAAGCTACGTATTGTTGTAACTAACTGAATTTTTGTTTGACAGTCTATCTTTTTTATTTTTATTTTTTCATGTAATGCTTAATTTCATACTCAAATTTCTAAATTTGTTCTTCCTCTTATTTCCTATAGAGACAGCATTGGCTTTGCTGCGACATCCTGATTGTTGCATCTCTGCATATTCATCTGTAAGCAACCATTAATTCCTTGAATATTTTTTTATATATTTTCCTTTAATTTGAGTTGTTTCTATTTTTTTAGTTGCTGTTTTGCATGATATTCTGGTGCAAATTCTGATGGGGATTGAATATACAGTCTATTGATACTGCAAAAGTCTAGAACTTTATTCATGCAATGTTGAATTACATTCAATTTGTTAAATGCACCTTTCATTTTATCTGCTTTTTCATTGCCGTATATTGCAGTATTTTATGAATGAAAACTAGGAAATTGCTAGTTCAGTTTCATTCCCAATTGTTTGGAGAAAGCCAATACTATGCAAAGTCATTTAGCTTATATATGTGCTTTTTGTTGATTAAGACAACTGAAATTAGGATGTTCTCTATGTAGTTAGCCTACTTTATGAAAATAAACCTAGACTTCATTCAATATTCGATATTATACTGCTTTATATTCCATGTTACAAAATTGATTTGTGAAGATAGTGCATAATGAAACCCATAATAAGCTCTATGGTGGGGTTAAGCCTTACTTTCAACACTCATCTTATATGTTCGTCATTATGCTAAATGTGGGGCATATACTAGGAAGATGTCCTACTTTTGTAGGATTGAAGGATGAAGTCTGGGCTCACAGAAGAGACTGAGCTCTTTAATTTCCTTCTGGAGAAGAACATAAACCTTGCTCTTTCAAGTGCTTTCTTTTCTTATATCAACTCAATTGAGTAATTCCTCTATCCCTATGTCTTGGTTTTTGGAGCCACCACGTGTGTTTAGCAAAACTCTGTGATTTTTTAGCTGGCAAACGTTCAGGCTAGATTTTGCAATTCTTGTTATGACTTTAAAATCTTGCAAGTTGCGAGGGGTTTGCTTTCTGATTAATTCAGTTATGGCAATATATATTATTGACCATCAGAGGCATCAAGGTGATTGAGGAGTGATTTGAACCCATTTGGCACACCGAGTGAGGTGCAAAAATTTGGTGCTTATGTGACTATACGCACCTTTAAGTGCAGGATCTTCTGGGAAAAGAAAATTTTCAATGATTTGAAAATTCTTCAAAACAATATCAGCCTCTTTCTTGACAGAGTAGTGGTATTATTTAAGAAAATTCACTGGTATTTTTTAATACCTAATTGATAATTTCTTACAGAATTTATAGCAGCTTATTAGAGAAAAAAAATTATAGCTGCTTATTACTGATCTTTTAGTTACAATTAATATCGAGACATCTGATGCATATAAACTCTGGATTTACCATCTTGTGTACAAGCACCTGATCACTTATCCGTATAAAACTTTGGAATGGGTACAATTTGAAGAACAGTAGTGAAATGATTGACGTTTTTTGAAATGGGCTGTTTGGTAGCAGAATTTGAGCAGGATTTAATAGGGTTTTAACCTAAATCCTGTCAAACAACAAAAATGACAACCTTAAAACCAACCTATGGAATCTTAAATCATGTTTCTCTCCTATTCGCCTTAATTCTCAAATTTAGTATATCAAGGTATTTGATGGATTTAATTTAAACCGACTAGTCTTTTATGAACTCTTTTACTTCGCTCCCCTTTACATATCGCTTGTCCCGTCGATGCCTTCTCCAATGAGCTACTGTTGTGATTATTCTTTATTGTTGAGAGATTCAAGAAATTGAGGGACAAGGTTTCCCTGTGTTTAACTTCAATATATTATTATTATTATTTTTTTATTTATAATATTAGTTTGTATTAATTTTAAAAAAACATATTAATTAGTAAGTTAAATTAATTTTGATAATTAATACTAATAACTAAAAAGATATTAATTAAAGCAAATTAACATTATTTATTATTTAAGTTGATAAAATAGAATTTTTATGTTTAATTAGTTTTATTAATTACTAGTTAGTGATTAATTAATATATTAATGTATGTTGTTTATAATTTAATTAGCATACTTAACATTGAAAAAATAGTAATCGAGGAAATGAGGTTTAAATACTTTAATAAAAAACTAAATTATTTTTAATAAATAATATTAGTTAATTAAAAATATATTAACTTAAGTAAATTGGTATAGTTATTGATTTAATTTGTCTAAATATAAGTGAGTATTTAATTAATTTAATAAAGGACTAATTGATGATTAATTAAAATATTTAATTAGTTTAATTATAATTTAGTTAGTCTAATTAAGATTGATACAAGCTGAATAAATATTATAAGATATCCCAATCAAATAAATTCTCAAATTCCGTAATAAGTAGCCAAATAGTTTATTTGTATTTAACATGATTTATCATCCATCATGCCAAATAGTTTTCAGGATTTAACTCGCACAAGATTTATTAAATCCGCATTTGATGGATTTACTAATTCCTACTTGAGTTATATCCTACTTGCAACCAAACAGCCCCATAGTGTGGCTTCAAAAAATTTTGTAGGTTTTGGCATGTATTATGCAACATCTAAATGCAGGATAATGTCAATCTCATAATTGATTTTAAATTGCTTGATTTTCCCTGATGTTTGCTAACTGTTTGTATGATATGGTTTTCCTGCTTGCTGAAATCATAGGAAAATGGAGTTCCATTTCTCGCCTAATCTTCTATTGATAAAATATAGCAGGAACTATGCTTTATCACCATTTTCCTTTTTACTCCATTTTTTTTTTTTAAATAGGAAATATATTAATAACACAAAAAGAAAGGTTACATCAGCATAAAAAGAAAAGCTAGCAGATAAAAAAAACAACAGAGAGAATTAGAAAATAAAAGCGAGCTCAGAACAAAGACAAAGCTAGCAGCGTCCAGTGAGTCCCGAAAGGAACCTCCAGAAAGCGAATGTCACCAGCAAAGAAGGACCAGGACGCGAGCCCGAAGCACATCATAACCCAAAGCCTCACGTAGCAGCAGATCAAACAATAACTCCGCCAAAACCCGAGAAGAAGCATCAAACATACGAAACGAAAAATCATCTCCTGCGTCGACCTTTCCCCCAAAATTTTCCGCGAGAGCCAACCTTTGAATTGCGCACAAGAGTAAAATCATTGTCGGACTCAACAGACTGCGAATCCGACTCCACATCCGACGAATCAACCAAACAATTATTCTGATTCCTAATATCCAAACCAGAAGAAGTACCCACACAATTGAGCCATCACTGGAAATCAACCACGCTTTACAGTGACCACAACTAAACTGTTTGCATTCAAATTAACTCCTCTTCCCCTTCTCAATTTCAGCCGGCACCACCGGCCACATGGGCAAACACTCATCAGAACCACCATCCTCATCTTTTGAAACTTGAAACACCCCCTTAAATTCACAACACCGCATAACTGGCGATCATCAGAAAATAACAACCGGACATTCATCGCATCAAAAACCACCTCCGCACACCACCGGAGAACCATGGTCACTAACATCAGTACAACCGGAGGTACAAACGGAGGCTGCACTCGGGGGATAAAGACAGAACAGTATTCACACGAACTAGCACATCATTCCAGCATTAACCAATCAACCACATCAGGATTGGTAGAAGTGACCAAGACTCCAAAACTCCGAATTTCGCCACCAGGTCAAACGGCCGATCCCCAAGGATCGGAAGACGCTCGCACCTGCGGCCTCATCACAGCGTTCACCCACCATCCACGAGATTTATTCACATTCAAAGAAGCAGAAAAGTTACACAATCCCCCTGGAAATGACCAAAGCCTTTACACAACACAATAAGCAGGCACATCCTCGAAGCAAACTCGTTTTGAACTACCCAGAGTTCCGCGAGACCAAGCCCAAATTTTATCTAGGAAGTCCTTATAAGTCAGATCTCCACCTAGGACACGCCGCCAGAAAGGTCTGAGAGTCCGACGAGTAATACTAGAAATTATCAACTTTTAAAGGACGGCCCCAACACATTCGAAGCCCAAACATGAAGATACGGCAAGGGCAAAAGGTGGTCGCAGGACTGAAAGCAACCCAAATATGATATACCGGGACTCAACCCCAGACAATCGAAGTATCGGCGACCATTAGTAAGTTCATAAGTAGCAGTTATTAACCCATATAAGATCTATGGCTGAACACTCTACTATAATCCAAATCATTAGAAGCTTAATAAGAATATGAGATTTGATCCAGAACAGTTACAGAGAATTCAGCATAGTTTCAAGCTGAAAAAAAAATTTCGGATAACATCTATTGAAGGGCGCCGCGTAGGAAAGAAACCAACCAGAGCAAATTGAAAAGGAAACAGAACAGAGCTAAAATTTTCTTCCTCCGATATCCATAACGAGGGTTAACCACGACAAAACCCTTTCTTAACTCAGGAAAATCAACTGTAAATCGAAGAACCAGATAAAGCTTCCACAAAAGAGCGTGATTTAAAGGACCCATCCAAGAAACCGGGGTCACAGACACGACTAACCACCATAATGAAAAAGGCAGAAAAATGAGAGGGCAAACTTCCCTGGACAGCAACCTGAAGAAAACAAGCCCAGGCGGCGGCGAAGCCCAGCCGTCGCGAGAGCAGGCGGCGGCGAGACCAGCCGTCGCGAGCGGCGATAAGTCCAAACCGTCGCGGACGAGAAGCCCAAAGCGGGAACGGCGAAGCCCAGCCTTCGCGGGCGAGATGCCCCCGCGGGATCGGCGAAGCCCTGCCCGTCGCGTGCGTGATGCCCTAGCCGTCGCGTTTTGAACACCCTTCCTTTTTACTCCATGTTTCGATGCTAACCATGGACATGGGTTTAGCTTTGGCTGTTCTAAGCCTAGATTTTTATTCAGCTTGGAGTATCTTGGCCACCTTTTTTTGTCCACAAGGTTTGTAATAAACCTTTAAGAGTATCTTGGCCACTTGTGAAATGTTAGCAGCCTGGCAATAATCCCGTTTTGAAATCAAATTATTAAGTGTAGTGGAAATCGGAGAGTTTCCCATCTTATTGTGAACTGCTGTTGTGCATACTACTAATTTTAATAATATTAAAAATAATGAATGATTTAGATTTTGCATTTGAAGGTGATAATGTCGATTTTTAATTTGAAGGAGTTCTCCTCTTATGAAGAGAGAAGTCCATACCTAGATGTGTATTTGTGGGTGAGTAGTTAGAGTGGTGAGTTATGTGTGTGAACAAGGATTCAGATAGATGCCCCAAATAATTGGGATATAGCAGCTGTTTTTGTCTTAAACGGGCATACAATTTCATATCCACTTTACATAAGTTTCATTTGGTAAGTTTTCCAAGTGGGGTATGTAGTTTTGGGATTCAATTTTTTTTTTATCATGCTTTATGGTTAAAATTTATGTCTGCTCCATCTTGTGTTTGATGTTCCTATTTATGGTTCTCATTATTTTCGTTGAACACTATCAAATGGAATACGGCATATAGTAACATCATGTTAATATTTTATTGTCTTAAGCTTTTACTATTTTTTGTTCCTTTAAATCTAAAATGTGATGACTCCTTTTCTGTGTAGTTATTTTAGATTATGTTTGTTTCCTTCCCTGATAGGCAACTTGTGCTCTAATTGTAATTATACTTACGTTAATTGATCATCAATATATAAGCCTTGTTATAAATGTCCATGTACAGGTGGATGTAAAACGAAGTGTAGAAGATGGCGAGAAACGATTTAATCAACTTTCTATTGAGGAAAGGGGTAAATTTGATGAGGAGACACTTGTAAATGTGAACAATATCAAGAGGCAAAGAACACCTAGCTATAGTTCCAAGACTTTTAGTAATGAGTACATTGTGGTAAGTCAAATTCTTTTGATTTCTTCTACAAGAAGTTGGGCAGAAATTGCAGGGACGCTTTTTTTTTTTCTAATTAATTAATTGTTACTGATTAGCTCTATGCATTTTGATCCGTGTAAATATGAACTTTGGTGTTTATTGAAATACTTGCAAGTTATTAGAAGAAATTATCCTATAGATGAGATCTACAAAATTTCCTCAACTTGAGACACTTTTGAACATGAATCAAATATTTACAAGTGTATCACTTTTATCTTTGCATCAATTTGCTGACTAAAACTAAAATTTTATTGAATATAAATTAAAATAAGAAAGTCTGTGATGGGAAAACTGTATCAAACTCTCTAATGTAGGGCATTATTGTATTTAGGTTTTTCTAATGCAAATGTAGGCTGAGATGCACAATTTAAGGCACACAAATTAGATTTATTTATTATGATTTCTTTTAATTGAAACAACTGATCTTTTCCTTTAAATTAAAATCATAAATATGTAAAATTCACGCACATGATAATTTAATAGTTGGTTAACATAAATCTCATATAAAAAAATTGGATCATAAAAGAATCATACATTAATCGAAAACTCTCACCCACCGTAATTAAAATAATTAAATTATAATAATTTTAAATTAATCAATCACACAAGTAAACTAATCACTAAATTAGAGAATGAAAATAGATCTAAGCAAAAATATCACCAAGTAGTAATTTAGCCCTAACTCCAATATAAGGCGATAACATCTCTTAGAAAATCTTTCTTCCAATTATATCAATCTAGAAAGAAGCACATCCAACTTCCACTTATGCAAAGGAGAAATAAGATGCAATCAAAGTAGAATATCAACAACAACAAAAATAACATCAAGTTTTTATCTCACTACGTGGGATCGGCTGCATGAATACTTTTTCTCCATTGTGCCTCGTTAAGAGACAAATTCTCATTTAAATCTAATTAAAAAGATCATTTCTAATATTTTTTTAGCCAAGTCTTTTTAGGTCTACCTCTATCTTTCTAATCAAAGTACAATTTCAATAAAATTATTTTCTTACGAGCCCCAAAACAGCCTTATTTATAATAAAAAATCTCCTTAATTTATAATATTAAAAGCTATAATCAATAGACTTATCCTTAAGTTTTTGAAAGGCTGCAAAAGTAATCATCACAAAAAAGTTTTAATCCATGGGATTCAGTAGAAATCCTTTAACAAAGAATTACGAGGAAGCCGCAAACTAGCTACTATATCCAAAATTCCCTAACATAAGGTCATGGTTTACGATATATTCCAAAATCATGCCTGGAATAGGAGTCACAAATTACGTCAAGAGCATAAGCCTTGAGCTAATAAGGAATGAATTTTAAATCACATGCAAAAAAGGAACCAAGTTAAAACCCGCAGGCGCGTAAAACAAAGAATTGAATTAAGTCAAAATTAACACAATGACTAAATTGTATGCAAACTCAATTATAGGCATTATTACAACTAGATGTATTTGTCATAATCAAACATCATAACAAGTCACTCAAAACTCTCATAAACTACTTCAATTTGCCTAATAATTTATTTGTGATAAGTAGTTAAATTTTTTAATTGAGTTTTTCATTTCTAAAACCAACGCATGAATACCATGCCTTGTTAGACAAAATAATTTTGGGTAAACGATGCAATTTAACATCACTTCATTGAAATATAATTTGGTTGTGTACACAGTAGTAGTTTTATTATATTGAATAAAATGAGCTATTTGAAAAAATGGATCTACCACAAGAAAAGATGGAATTAAGTTTTCTAAGAGTTCTTGGTATTCCTAGCATAAAGTACATGCTGAAATTTTCCTAATGCATATAAGGAATAGTTAAAGGTGTGTATAATCCATGGTTAATTTCTTCTTCCTGTAGCGGTTTGATTAGTTTTGCATTGTGAAACTATTCTCGCAAAATCTATTTTTAAACTTAATAATTTGTATCCTCGAACATAGTTATTGTTTTATCCTTATCAAAATGTCTAGCAATACCACTAACACGCAATTCTAGAATAGAAAAATTTTTTAACGATGTTTTACGAATGCATGGACAAATTCTCTTTGAATATAGCCATCTTTAATCATAGTGAATGATTGGTGTTTCTGTAAAGGTAAATTATATCTAGCTCCCTTGAGTTTCTAGTCTAGAAGTGATTTGATCACTAAGTTTTCATGAACCCATTTGGGTCCCTCGATTTTGATATGACTTTTCTTTGGTTTCTTACGATATTATTAAATCCAAATTGATTTCTGTCCATCTTTTTGGCATATCGCCTCTGGGAATCCTTGACATGGTTTTGGAAAAAAGCCTTTATGTGAGCACTGATCTAGTGGTGTCAAATGGTGGATGCGTGTGATCTAATACAATTTGCTAATCGTGTGGCTAGAAATACATTGTCATTTGAATATCTTTTAATGAGTTGGAAATTTTAATAAGTTCCCAAGAAAACCAGAACATCCCGCTCTGTTCATTTCAGTAATCTTTTGTTTTCTTAATCCATTTTGCTCTCTTGTAAGACATAATGCCCATTTTCCTTGTGATTATGCTATTTGACTTGGTTTACATTTCTAGATAACCATTCTTGTGGCTGCTGAGGGAGTGCACAAGCTACCCGTCATCAATGGCAGTGCAGATTTAAAGGCGGCGTTGCAAAAGCTGGGCTCAATTCCTGCCAACAAAACAATGGTATGATCTAACTCGCAAATCCTTGCTTGGATTGACCCGTGAGTTTGAAATGTAGACTCTTTTAATTTTCGTCTGGGTTCGAACTGACCCAAAAACTCAAAATCAACTTGAATAATCTGTTTAATTTTTTCAGTTTAAAAAGCATCTAAAACTGTATAATAAATGAGTCAGGTTCAGGTTTAGGTTCAGGTTAAACAGTCAGGTAGGCCCGAACCCAAACTATTAATCCGAATTTATTGTCTTTTGAAACTTTGATATTGCTTGAATTCATTATAAAACTCTGATTTCTTTTAAATGAAATATCAGTTTTCTGTTCTAGAAAAGTTTATATATGAATTTTTATACCATTCTCCTTTTTATACATACATTCAATTTCGACATCATTGAAACTGCAGGCAGTGGAGGTTTTGTGGACTCCTCAGAATGAAAACGATACGTTATCAGAGCGTGAACTCCTGGAAGACTACCCGCTTTTGAGGCCTTTGTAAGAAGCAAAAGACTAGCTTGAAGCTTCGTTTGGGACTGCTTTCTTACTGCTTCTTAAAGCTGTTTTTTAGTATAAAAATTAATTTTTTTTACTAGAAAGCCACTTTAAGAAGCTGGAAGAAAACCGTCCCAAATGAAGCTTGAGACAGTCTTTTAGGTTAAATATTGTACAGATGCAACAGAATAGGATCAAACATCTTATATATTGTGAAAGGGGCTTTGCTTTCAAGGTTCAAGATATAATAATTCTTCTATTTTCTTCTGATCTGCTCTTCTTTTTACATGGAAGTCACTTCCACCAGGCTCTATATCCATTTGAGTAAAACAGTTAAGACATGTGGTATTTTTCTTCGCTGCAAGATCAGCTTTTGCTCTGAAGAAATCTGCAAGCTTATTTCGTAGTTTTTAGTTGCGTAATGCATCAATGTTTGATTAGTACGAGGAGAATAATCTGATTGTTGAAGGAATTTAGATATTTTTGTTCTTCTTTCTTGTGAAACGGTCAATAGAAGCATGCTCTTGATTTTTCTTGCATTGTTAGAGCCTGGAGTTTCTATCTTTAAAGGGTTGTTTGGTACACCCAGGATTTGATTTAAGTGGGATTTCATAAATTCTCTAAATTCGAAATTCTGAGGGGCCTAAATCCTGAAAACTGTTTGGTAACATTCATGATAAATTCTATTAAATCCCGGGTTATTGTTTGGCTATTGAGCGGATTTAACGAGCGGAGTCTTCCTCTCGAGCTAATAAATTTCGTAAATTCGACAAAAACAAGATTTAAAAAATCCGGGATTTAGTACGAAAAGATGGAAATTTCTGTTTACGGCGGCTTTCATTTGTCGTGAAATTTGGTTTTGCATTTTAGGCCGGATTTCGCTCAAATCCAACCTAAATCCTGCTACCAAATAGCCCCTAAATGCCACTAATCTTTATTTAATCATTGATTTTTTTTGGTCATTTAGGTTAATTAAGTCAAACGACTTGAATCTAGAACTTCAGCTCTCAACTAACAGATCAAAATGAGCTGCGTCGTGTCGGGAGCAAAAAATTGATAAAGAATTTCAAACCTATTTTGATTTTGGTTTGTGTCTATTTTGATGGTTTCAGCTTTTGGTTGTTTTGACTGATTAGAGAAGTTTCGATTGTTTTTATATAAAGAAAAACATGTAAATATGATTTCTGAAATGTTTTTTTTTTTAATGCCAAGTTGGAAATTTAATATTATTTTAATTCTATGAAATTATTTTTATTGGATGTACTATGGCAAATAATTCTATATTATGTGTTAGGACTCTCATTTTTATATTATCTATATTATATTTTAAGTGGCAAACAAGAGGAGATAAAAGATGTGTGGATATATTGGCATCCAGCATATCCATGCGCCTTAAAATAAAGACTTCTTATACATGCTCGATATTAAAATGAATTTAGGTATAAATTTATAAGATTAAAGAGAAAATATCTAACATATATTTTTTTTTGGATTCAAATAAGTTTGTTTCTCATCACTCTTTATTTTGTAAAGTTTTGAGGGCTCCAAGAAACACTAGATAAGAAACATAAAAATATACTGCTATACAGAACACCTATGACTTTTGTGAGAGATCTCAAACTGCCTGAGATGAGTAAGATATGTTGTAGCGAGACGGGAGAGGCTTCAAGTTTGACTATTGCAACAAGGTGAGCTTAGGGTCCCGTGAATAGATGCTTTCCTATAGTAGAGCTTCGTCAGGGGCGGAATCAGCCCTAATTTTTAGGGTGGTCAAACTTATAAGACATATATGTCGGGGGTCTAAGGGGGCAGTGTCCCCTGGCGGGGTTCGACCTGTTGGGGGCAGTTACCTAAAGACCATAGTATTTTTAAATTTTTAGGGGAGGCAATTGCCTAAAAATTCTTGTAATAAAGACTAAAAAATAAATAAATATGAGTAAATTACCTAAAAAAATCATATAAATAAATTTTTTAAAATTTTTTGAGGGGGGGCCCCATGGGGTTCCGCGCTTTTAAAATGAAAGATTTTTACACGCTTTGAACTTGAACTTCAAATAAGGGGTTGTTTGGTTGGAAGTAAAATGGGTGTAAAGTATTCCAAATGCTAGGGTTTTGAAAATATGTGTTTTGGTTGGATGAAAAATGAAAGCAAAGCAAAGTAAACATAGTGTAAGTCATTTTAGTCCATTTTATAGATAATCTAAACTCGCTCTGTTTTGAGTGAGAACCATTTACACTACAAGAAAAGTTGCTTGACCATCACCACCCATCGGTGGCCACCACCACCATTCTTGGTGACCGCCACCACCTACCCCTAGCCACCACTGTCACCACTACCTATTGCCAGACACCACTATTGTCGTCAGCCACCAACGTCGACATCACCCACTGCCTACCACCATAACCTATCGTTGATCACCACCGCCACCACCCACCGCCACTGGTCGTCATAGCCACCGCCGGACTCCGACCGCTATTATTTTTGGATTTTATACTATATTCATTTTATTTCCAAAAAAAAAAAATCATCCACATACATTCACTTTACATTCATCTAAACAACTATATTGTGCTCTTTTATACTATATTTTTTTGCACTGTATTTCTTTTATAATGTATTCTTTTTTTTAAGCAATAAAAAAGTTTTTAAGAAAAAAAATTACCATAGTATCCCTCACACGATGGGAAAAATATTAGGTGTGGACACCGGATGTAGATGTATGTCCGGACTCCAACAAAATGTCAACATGTGGAGTGGACACGTAGATATTCAATTGGATTTATTTTTTACTTTATATATTTAATGTGTCGGCAGAACTTTACGACAAGCATAACAAAAGAGCATGAAAAGTACAGGTAAAGCACAGTAAAAAAGCGCAACAAAATAGCAATTAAAGCGTATTTAAAATGCAACCAAAGCGCATTAAAAAAACGCAACAAAAGAGCAGTCAAAGCACAACTAAATTGCTACTAAAACGCATGTAAAACACAAATAAAACATACAAAAAGTACAACTAAAATGCATTCAATATGTCAAATTTTAAGTGGATGTCCCGTATCCGCACCTAATAATTTTCCCACATGATGGCATGTGCAAAACCAGATAATCACTCACGTCTCTCTCTCTCTCTCAAACTACTACCTACAACGACGTTCTTCTTCATCATTGTTCTTAACGGTGACAACTCTTCATATACTTTTTTTGGGGACATTTAGGCCATTTAAGGCAAACTCACACACACAACGCATACACAAAGACTCGAACTCAAGACCTCTTAGTTGGAAGCCTAAGCTCTCAACCAACAAGCTAAGGTGAGCTGTGTACAACTCTTCATATACAATGTTCGGGGCAGCGGGTAGCGCGGCAGCGGGTAGCGCGGGCGAGGCAGCGGGAAATTCAAATTTTTTTAAAATAAACGGGTTTTCGGGTTGACCCGGCAACCCACCCGGTCAACCCGAACCAGACCCATTTTTTCAAACGGGTCGAATCTGCGAACCCGAATCAGACCCGTTTTTAAAAAAATTTGTATCATAATATAATGTGTTGTGTTCAGCTCTAACTAGCACCAAGCAATATGTTTTTAGTTTTCCCTCTTATCCACGTGGGCTCGAGCTATTGTGACTCATGTTTTTTTATTATTTATTTCTTTAATTTTTATGAAAAACACTCAAATTCAATGTGGCTATTAAAAAAAAGAATTTGATTTACCCAAATTTACTCCAAAATATTTAATTTCTTTATAATATTAAATATCTGAGTTATTTTTTTAAAAAAATTAAGGCAAAAAAGGAGTCAGATTAAACAAAAATCATTAAATGACCTCCATTTCCTTTGCCCTAATGACAAAGATTAAATTATATTAAGAGAAACTAATAATGCTGAACTTAATCTAAAATCTATTTGAAATGGTAACAAAGAACTTTAAAGGACTTTTTAACTTTGTGGATGAAAACTAAAGAAAATTGAATTTTGTATACCTTTTAGGCTTTTAAATTTAATATTATCATTAATTCGAATTAATTAAAAATTATTTATTAATGACCAATGGTGGAACCCATTGTGGACAAAACAACTAAGATATCACAGCCGGTCAACATTTCCTATTTGATTTGTTAGTTTTTTTATTTCTTTTAGGTGATATCTTTTATAGAACTGCCAGCTGCCTTAAATATCTTAATTTCACCTTTATTAAATTTATATTTTATGGATTTGAATTTGAGCTTGAGCATTTATGAAATTAAATGCACAAATGGCTATAAAGAAAATATAATATTTATAGATTTGAGTTGGGGCATGTGTTGGCTTGGACAATTCCTTGCTATAATAATTTTATCTTTATACTATTAAATTTTATGATTGAAGGTGTCAATATTTGACACGACCAAAAAAATTTAATCCGAATCCGACCCAAAAATTTCGTGTTAGGGTGAACCCGTTTCACAAACGGGTCGGGTTTGGGTTCCAGGATTCAACCCGTTTGAAAAAATGGGTCGGGTCCGGGTCAACCCTCTAACTCGAAATTAACCCAAACTGACCCGAAAACAGCGTAGCGTCAGCTCAGCCCTCCAGCTGTCCGCGTCAATTCTTGCATTGCATTAACCCGTCCGACGTCGTCCGCATACCGTATGCATGCCACTCTTAGCCGAAGGTTGCCGCAACTTGCCGGTTGCAAAAGTATCGATAATCGATAGCACCTTGCTGTCGCAGCCTCTGCTGGACTGATGTCGCATCCTCTGCCGTCGCCGCCATCCCCATTTCTGCTGCAGCCGTAACCTACATGGCGCCAAACACAACCATTTCCTCCATCCAACACTAGCTAGACCCCAGGTCGTGTCGGGTTGACCAGGACCCAAGGCGGGTTGTGTTCGTGTCTGAGAATCTGACTCGTTTTTAAAAAAGGTGGGGTTCGAGTAAGGTCAAATATTATCGAGTTAGTTTCATGTTAGACCAGAATCCAACCCAAAACCCGATTTTGACAGCCCTGAAGAGTCTTAAAATTATTTTAAGATAACTTGAATAGCTATTGCATTACAATAATTAAAACCACTGTTATAGCTTTAAATTAATTAAAGCCACCACAATTTGAAAGATCATGATAACATTTTTAAATGGTTATAAAATCATCCTTAAATAGTTTTCTCATGGATGACATTAACAATAATTTCAAGACGATTTTAAAACCACTCCAAGTATTTTTTACAATGATTAAGGCTTCGTTTGGGACAACTTTCCTACTACTTCCTAAACCAGCCTTTTAGGCTTCGTTTGAGACAGCCTTTTTCCTGCTTCTTAAAGCAGCTTTTAATTATAAAAATTAATTTTTTTTACTAGAAAGTTGCTTTAAGAAGCAGTAAAAAAGCAGTCCTAAACAAAACCTTAATCTAAAAATTTTTTAATTAAAAATTTGTACTAAAAAACAGCTTCAAAAACCAGTAAAAAAATTGCCCCCAACCAAGCCTAACACTCGTCATAAAGTCCTCCAATATC